GACTGGAACTTGGGACTGTGAGTTAAGCCGCCTAAGGGAACTTGAGACAAGATAAAGGTGACACAATTGTCCTATTAGATCAGGTCTGGGGACAAGTGAGGCACAGCGGGGTGGATTCGCTGCCGGGCCCGGAGCGTGAGGGGCTCGGCGGCAGCGCTCGATATCGCCAGAGCCTCGGCCCCAGCTCCGGGCTGCTCCACAACGGGGAAATCCCGGGGTCTCAGCAGTTTGTGTTCGGCGCATAGACACGGGGAATCGGCGAGCTGCAGGTCCTGGGCAGGAACATTCAGCTTCTCGTTCTTCTTAGGGACACACAAGTAGCAAAAGTAATTTCACGGTGTAATGTTTGTCACCTAATCTGCAGCCGGGAATTAGTGCTCCGGAGACTGATGTTATCACATCCTGTATTTCTCTTTGGCATTCTCTTTCAGAATACAGATGTGCTAAAAGAAAAAAAAAATAGTACAATATTTATCAATCTCTGTCTTCGAATGAAATGCAAGACTGATTTTCAATTGCATTCCCAGCATTGTAATAAAAACACACTAGAACCATAATTGTTGCAAGTTTCCTGCTTGCAGTAAAGTTTATCTGTAATATATATGATGCCTTAGGTTTTAGATTTTACATTTTTCAGATTCTGTGCTGCTTTACTGTGTAGTTATGAGTTTCATATTAGGGGATGGTGAGCTCTCTGCACAGAGCAGGGAGAAAAAACAATTCCTTCTCTAGCTGGGGACCAAGGGCAAATGATCCAAATCTCAGGCCCAAGAGCACAAACAACGTGGACTGAAGAGAGAAAAAGAAGCAGGATGGGACTGCATGGACTAAAGCTATAATTGGACAATTAACTCTAATATGCAAATGGAGCAGAGCTGATCACAGCGAGACACCCTGTGAGCAGTCGTGCATTTTGTGACCATTTTGGTTCATCTTGGGTGCAGCCCTGGCTGGGCTCTTGTGCTGCCCAAGGTGGATCCATTGAGGCCTTTTAGGAAATCCCTACTTTGTTCTTTAAATCCTTCTAACCTCTGTTCTAGGTCAGCCTTCACAAGGCATCATATAGGTTTATATATCCTAAAGAACTGCATTTGCCTTCATGCTGCAGAACAATAGCACAGATTTTGTGTCTTCAGCAGAACTGACGTCTTAGTAAAGACTTAGAAGTGAAAAATTTTCTGGGTTAACGAGAATTAAGGAAGGACATTTGAAAACAGATCAACCCTATTAGTTTATGATGTTTCCAAGTCTACTACTCTGTGCAGCCTAAGGAAGCTGTAATAGAATAAGGGAAGAGAGACCTTGCAGCCATGTTATCCGTAAGTGTGTGGAAAACCTTCACACGGAGCCCCTGCACAGCCACTTTAAAGACTTGGTGGCAGAAGAACAACATAGGATTGAACTAGAGACAGGCAAATATCCAATTAAAGTCAAATTACAAGTTATTTTATTTTCAGATTGGGCCACAGATTGTATGCTGCTCACCATCCTTGGGGTTCAGAATGTCCTGCAGCATGGCTGAGACATGAGACTTGTGGAGCAGAATTATGAAAAGGTGAAGCACAAACATTTCTTATGCACCTACATTGCATTACCAACTCGGCACCTTAAATATGGTTTTGCTCTTTTAATGGAAGTTTATAGCTGGAACTGAAGATTTTTTTTTTAATTGTTGAGAAGCTCTGAGTAGAAGCAAATATTCTTGCTGTGTACCTGTGGTAGGTAGGTAGGTACCTGCTACCTGGCAGTGGAGGAATGTGCATGTACTTACATTTAAGTCTCTGAAGTATTCATTATAGTCAAGAGCATATCCAACTACAAATTTATCTGGAATTTCAAAGCCTGTATCTGTAAAAAAATACAGTTATTTTTATAATTCAGTGGTGTAAGTAGCTTTTAAGTGCACAGTTGGTATTCAAGACACATTTGACTGAGAGTAATAGGCATCATCTCTTTCAGAGTGCTTTCTTAAGAATCTGATCTGTAAATTGATGACAGAGGTTAGAATCTAAACCATTCCCATCAGTCAGTAATATAACTAAGGTGTTAAGAGAATTATTTTTATTAACAAAATAATTGTTTAAAACCTAGTTATGAGTTAGTCCTGGGAGAGGAGAAAAGGAGTGAGATTTTACTTGAGTAAAAGTAGATGAACAGTGATTCAGTAGACTTTTCAGTTTGGAAACAAGGCAAGTTTAATAATGCCAAATGTCAAAACATGCCCTCTGGGGTCAAAGCAGAGCAAAACACAGTTAAGATTTGTTTTTATTTCTGCTATCTAAATAGTTAAATTTGTGTATGAAGTAGCTAAATCTGCACTCGGGGAAAAAAAGAAGGTGGTCATGAGGCCTCAGGATGGTGTAGCTGGTCATTAGTTCACAAGTTTTTATGTAGTTTCTCCCCATTTCTCTTGTCCTTAATGAAACCTGTGTGTGAGTTGTCAGATGTGCTGAAGTGAAATTGCAAGACTGTGATTTGGAAAATACAGAAAAAAATGCTAGAAAAACATGATACTTACAGTCTGGTCTGTAACCTGGACTCTGACATGTCCTTTTAACAAGCAGGCTGTAAGGCAGAGCAGAGATGGTTGGTTTTTAAAATGTCTTGCTCTGATTTGTAGACTTCCCTTCTGCCATGCCTCTCCATAAGGTTCTAAAATCACGCACTTAAATTAAAACAGTGAGATTATTGCACAGAAAGAAGTAGTGTTCAGCCTTGTAGTGGAGGGAGAAGCAAAGGCCCTGATCTAGGTTCATTCTTTATGTCCAAGGGGCTTGACTTTGTATTCAGTTCCTGCAATCCTGTGTCTCAGGTACTTGCCCTTCCATGCAGCAATGCCTCAGCACACTACAACAGCACAAAGGGGGAAGCATGGCCAAGTGGCTGGGAATGATTTTAGTGGGGAGGGAGGGAAGGGGGGACAATTTCTTCCGCAAAATTACATCTATTCTTGCTGGAGGGAGGGAGGGGGGGAGGGAGGAATGGAAGATTTCTTCTGCAAAATCATATCCATTCATAGTTTGTCTGTGCACCTCAGAAGAAACTGAGAACCTCCTTGACAGTCACTAGAAGGACTGCCTGAATAACTGATACTTAAAGCAACTGTTTTTATAAAGCACTGTGGTTACTTGACAGACACAGGGATATTCCACGAAATATCCTTTTAGAGATCTACTAAAAGCAAATCTAGAATGCTACTTGAAGGCATCTTCCCAGTGCTGACAGACTCTTAGATTCTGGAAAATTCTACGGTTGAGGATATGAAGAAATATTCTATGGCTGAGGATATTAAGAAATATTCTGAGTGTTGTCATTCTAGTATTGAGGCAACCTGAGGTGGTGTTAAAAAACCTACAGAAGAGATGAATTTCCTGCAAACATAAAGTAAGAAACAAGGAATCCATCAGACTTTATGACTGCATGGAAAGAGCCTTTTTCCATTAATTTGAGCAGTGAAGATGGTAGTGCACAGGTAAATTTCCCAGTTTAAAAAACACTTAATTTTTCAGCAGCTGGATAAGGATTACTTCCTGCATTTGCTTCCTCACCCCCAACCTTCAAGCCAAGCAAGCACCTGTCAGCATACACTGACTATTCATCCAAATTATTTGAATACATTAAGTTAGTGGCTATATCTTTGTACCTTACAACTTTTACCATCCTTGGTTTCTTGTCTTTTATTTTTGAAAGTAGAGCTTTCATTGTTCTACCAGTCTCAATAATGTCCTGAAAGAGATAAAAAAAATAAATTATCCTTCAAGTTTGAAAGGAAAACCAGACTGTAAGTGGATTAAATTAAAGCGTAACAACCTGGCAGCCCAGTAACATAATTAAGTATTATTTTATATGTAATGTGTATTAATTTGAAAAGAAGGGAGAAAAAATCCTTGTCATTCCACCCCTTGTTCAGTCATTACTTACCTCTACTACTAACACATTCTGGAAGATCTTACATAGGGAAAGAAGGAAAGAAAAGAAAAGAAAATACTTAAATGTCAATTTTCAGCAAATTATACAGCCAAGAAAAGCACACTAAAACCCTAAGTTAAAGGAAGTTGCACTGATTTTCAAAGAAGATTGTCGCTTGAACTACTGACTTTATTTTGGTGCTTTCTGAAGAGTCTCTCTGTAAGTATTTATGAAAGCTTACAATATGGTGATAAAGGCATCTATGTCAGGTCTATACATTGCTCTATGTATAGCACTAGTATTCTGGAGCCACACTGAATGAGTCAGTTTAGTATGGTTCATTTCTGGGCATTCTGGGATAAAATGTGGAATAGGATCTTTGGGAGCATTCATCACTGATCACTTCAAGTTTCCACTGAGATCAGTGGGAATTATTCACTGTTTCAAAGCCCAGAAATTTAAATCAGTGTTAAGTGGCTGGAAATATGCAATATCAAAATCTTAATAAATATGGATTTCCTGGAAAACACACAAGAGCAGTTGTTTCCCTTTTAAAGCTGAAGATGCTAATTCGTACCTTCCCCTTTAGTGTAGACAGTTCCTCTCCAACAAAACTGATTTTTTTTGCAGGTGAATCATTCTAGAAGGAGAAAGAAAGATTGAAGTCTCATAAAGCATGCCCAAAATGTTATCCTGTATTTATTTGAAAGGTGTGCTGCTCTTGCTTTTTTCAAGAGGAGGGACTTTGAGCTCTGCCCTTGGTTTTGTCAAGTGTTCTGCTATATGTTTATTCCAGTGAATGTGTAATATCCACCCTTTGGGGAAGATCTGTAAATCAGTTCCTTTTTAGTACGTAATTTGAACAGAATGCTCAGCTTTGGTATGCATAAACTCAAACTACCAGTATTTAGAATGCCAGTCTATGAAGAGAGTCAATTTTCCAAAGAAAATAAAGTTGCTTACACAGTAGCTTTTTATTCTGACAAAATCCACGGTAACAGGCACTGACTTATCACCATTTTGATTTAGTGCTTTTATATGGTCCAGCAAATCGGCAAAGAATTTATAGCCTCCTTTGAGGACACAGAGTGCAACAATGTGATGACTTCCCATGTCTTGCATGATATCTCTAGCCAAACGTTCTGTCCTGTGAGAGGAAAAAAAACCAAAAGCAGGCAAGGAAACATACAAGGAAGTATGAAGAATTGTGAATAAGATTAATATATAAGTTATAGAAAAAAATAGGAAAATCCCCTCAAATTCATGAGCTTTTGTTACACCCGATACTGCCCTGATGTTGATAAAAATACAGAACTGAAAAAAAAAAAATTCAGAGCTGGCTTAAAGCTTCAACAGTGAAAAATAGGTTATCTACATACCAGTTACCTTCCACAGAACACAGTAAAGCATCTTTCTAAAAGCTCAGAGCTGTGGATTCAGCAGTAACAGCATAAAGTATTGCTAACAACAAGTTAAATCTGCAAACTTTTTGGACAGATGAATTGTTTTTAGTTTTCCTTTTCTTTGGCACAGGAGAGATAAGTGCTTAGGAAGAAAAGAAAAATGGACTGTAGGAGGCAGTAGTAGGTTATTACTTGCAAAACTCATGGCAGCCAAAAATGAAATAACCAATTACTGCCATTTATTTTAAATTGGCTGCAAATAGCTTCCTGCATTTAAAGATAAAACTGGAGACAGCTGTAAAAGGAAGTTTCAGAGAACAGATTATAGTAGCACAAGGCAATGGATATAGAAGCCCATCCTGGCTGGGATGAGCATATTCTGCAGGTACGCTGGGATCAGCTGGGTCAGGCTGTGCCACATCACTGAGAGAAGCTTTAGTGAGTGCAGAGCTGCTCATGGCTTGATGTTCAATTTACCCAGCTGGACAGCTTGAAACTGGCCCATTTCTGCCTCTGGGAGGCTGCTAGTGGTGAATACACAGGCAGGGTATGAGACTCTGACATCATTATCATTTGAAGTATCAAAAAAAAGCACCTTTAAGGATAGTCACTGACACCAGTATAAAATGTGCTGTTTGTTTTGTTTGGGTTTTGGTTTGTCTCCAAGATTCCCACGTCTATTTCATCCTACTTAACTGCAGCTTAAACACAGTGATAATGCTCCCTGTGAATTTGAGCAGCTTCTTTTGCCTAATCATGATACTGATTGCAGTATTCAATGGACTTCAGCTTTACATCTGCTTTTGCAGTTATAAATGCACAGCATTTCTTCTGCACGGCAATTTAAAGGTCAGCCTTCTTGCCAAACCTGAACTTCCTGCTGCACTTGATGAGTGACATCGCAACTGCTTCAGCTCAAGTGAGGGATGAGTTTGTCTGTGTGGATGTAACTGTAAAATAAAGGTAATCTTGAGGCATATAGGTGTGAATAGTCATTACTGCTTAAAGCTACTCCAGCAGTGCAGTAGCTGCTTTGTAGCTGTCACTTGGTTTAACAGCTCTGCTCATTGAGAGTCTTGGGTACAAATAATATCTGCTACAACAATATCCTCTGTGGGAAGCATTTTTAAAAGCCTGATGAAAGGTTCAAAACCAGAACTTTAAGGATTGCATCAGTTTGAGCACCCCATCACCACAGCAACCTGCCTTACAGGCTCATTAAAGCCTTTGCATTGTTAATATTGCCTTGGCATATGCTGAATAATATAGTGACAGCCCATAATAATATAGCAATCTACTAAACTGTCATACGAAATCATTAAATTTTTAAATAATGAGTTTATAACTTGAGGAATTAGTAATTTAATTTAGTTGCAGTCTCATCTGTTCAATTACTGCTGTAAGTTTCTGAGTTTAAATGGAAAAAAACAACAAAATGAACTACAGCAATTTCATACAGTAGATAAATGCATAACTATTGTTTCATCAGGACAGAATGAAAGAATATGAATATAGGTATGTTAAAGTCAGATAATGTCATGCATTTGTAGAGAAGTGAGCCTTATCAAGATGCCTCTGCTCTGAAAGCCATCTTTTCTGCTGAGTAAATATCAGAACCAAAGCCTTTCATTAGCCAGTATTTCTAATGCTCTGCTATTTTTGCTGAAACTGACCTTTCCCCCCAGTGAAAGCTCCCTTCAGGCAAATAACCAAGCACAAGGACATTATGCTTTCTTACCTGCAGTCCATGAGCCATAATCCCTCTTTGAAGGATGCTCTTGCAGAATGACTTGGTGTAACTACTGCGGTTTGGCTTGCCCTGATTTAATCTTCTAGTCAGACCATGACTTGCTTCTAAAGGGTCAAAATTGCCATCCTTCCTGCAGGAAGCATTACTTCCTTCTGCTAATGCACTGACATCACAATCCCAGGTTCTTACCTAATCAGATTAACCAGAAATAAAATGAGTTGAGCCCTGCTGTAACCAGTGAGAATAAAGATGTGGGGAACAAGGGAGATGCAAAAGAGAAGCTCAAGAATCAAATTAATGGGAAGGACTAGGTAGAACCTGAGGTGGGGTTTTGAACTGAAAACACATATCAGATATTTGGTTGTAGCAGGTGGTAAATCAGTGGTGTATGTGTAAAAGGTAACTTTGTATACCATTTTCTTACACAGTGTTTGTTCACACAATCCATTGTTGTGACAAAGTCCATGACTTTTAAATATTCTTGTTATAACTTGCTGTCAGAAAATGTCAGTCAATGATAAAGCAGACTAAATAAAGCATATTTTTAACAGGATCTTGAAGGAGATGTCTGCAGCTGTTGAGATCTGGTGAACCCTGTTTGTCATTCTTCCACGTCATCCTTTCATAACAAGAGGGTAACAGTTCTAGTAACATGCTTCACATCATTTAAAATCAAATCATGCTGACATTTCCTGTAATCTGATTAATCCACCAAACTGCACTGTTATCTGGGATTAACATGAAAGTCTGGAAGTTCTAAAAATTAATCCTACTTGAAAAATGAGCTAAAACCAGCTTGCATGCAACATATTACAGGATGTTCTTACTAGATGGGGTATATTTTATTAATTCAACTAGTTTAGTGTTCTCTTGGTGAGGGACCACAGTAGCTAATGAAAGGAGATTTTTCTTGTTTCTTTGTAGTCTCACAGTTGCTCTTCAGATTGTGGCTGGTGACACTTGGGATAATGTAGAAAATCTGTTCCAATGGATTAATGGGCATATCCACAACCTTAAGTGAGACATTAAATAGTAGTTCTTTTGGGAACTGTTAGTGCCTTGAGGCTACCTGACCCCTGTTTGATGTAGTCAGCAGGACCTTCCTCCTGTGAATTCCCTACTGTATTTCATGAGACATACTCGTGAGCTCCATACCCTGAGAAAAACCTTGCTTTTCTACTTCCTAGGGTAAGGTGGCCCTTTTAGCTGACACATTTGTTGGCTGATTCTCACCTAGTTTTCCACACTTAAACAGAGTTTAGCCTAGTTTTGCTAAAATCAATATCTTGAATGCAACTACTTGTTTGAAGCCTCTTTCTAATCAAGGCACAAATTATTGGCCCTACTGTCAGTTTACCATTTTCAGCAGTAAAACTGAACAAAGTGTCTGAAATTATAGTGAAAATATAAATACTGTATGCATATCTGATATGATCTGTAGCTCTCAGCTTAGCTGTGCCCTGTTTCAAAATGCCCTGCCCTTCTCTGCATTGTGGATTTTTTTGTGTGTGTAATCTCTGTATAGGGAAACCTTGACTACAGATTACTCCTTGGATTTCTGCTTCCTGCTCTCTGATCATGCCTCTTGTAAATATTCTCACATGTAATATATTTGCTTTGGTTCTGGATATTAGAAGGCCACCTTTGCTGTGTAAATTTTATAATCCCCTGATTTTCTTTAACTTTAGGCAAGTTTGATTCCATGTTACTCACATTTCTAGAAACTGTACATTGGAGCTTGCAAATCTTTGTGTTTCCTTTAGGCACTGTACTCCTAGATCTGACCTGAACTGGGCCCAATTCTAAAGTCCTGTTTAATTCTGTTTCAGAAAAATTTGTAGAAAATTCCTCTCACTGACTTACTTTTGTGTTTTGGCTGCATGGGGAATATTACCTGACTGGCAAATGAGCAATGACTTTATTTATTAAAGCCCATGTTTACACTTTCATTAAACTTTAAGCTGGTTCAAGAAGTCTCTGCCTACTCTATTTGAAAACTACTTCCCAGATCATATTTGTTCAAATGAATTTAGACTTCTCAGTAAATTCCACAGAACCATGATAGTAATCACACACCACAATCACCTGTTTTAGTGTTGCATTCTGAAGAAAAAAGTACTCATTGGTAAAATGTTCATGCTAAAACAGCCGTTTGTCATTGCTGAATAATGAAAATAGAATGGAGACATCTGGTATCTGTGGATGGCTTCTCTGTTGTAAATTATGTGATCACACTCCCATATGAAAGAACAAAAAATTTAGGTGTATATGTATTTGTTCCATATGGGATCTTCAAGTGCATATTTTTAAAATTAAGTGTTCTGAGGAAACCAAATCAGGTTTCAATCTCTTGCCCTGCTCTAGATAATAGGATGCTGAAAGAGCCAATAAGTGAAGCCCACACAAACAGACTGGAAATTAATTAGATCAGCACTGATAGCTTGGTAAACAGCCGCCAGTCCATACAGAACAACGGTGCTCCTGGCCTTGCATTTATTCCCAGAACTATTGAATCAGTAACTACTTTTCTCAGGGCATGATTTTGCTGTTCCCATACCTGAGTTTGGTTAAACAGGTTTACATTCTATTACAGTTCGGAGTGACCGCCCTTGAGACTGCTGCGATCATTTTAAAGGTCCTCCAGAAGCATTGTATGAACGCTAATAAAGCATTTAATTTAATTAAACTAATTTCCGACGAGTTCTTTTCGTTCAGGAGGCAAACACATGCAGCTGATGTGCCGCGGCTGGTCCCCGAGCGAGCCCGGCTGTGCCGCGAGAGGGCAGCGCCGGCCCGGGCAGCGGGCCGGGCGTGCCGAGCGCTTCGGCATCGGGCTGCGAATCGGGGAAGGTTCTGCTTCCCCCGGGGTGCTGGCACTGCCCAGGCTCCCAGGGAATGGGCACAGCCCCGAGGCTGCCAGAGCTGCAGGAGATTTTGGACAGCGCTGCAAAGGATGCACAGGGGGATTGCTGGGGGTCTGCAGGGACAGGGGCT